TCTTGGGCGAGTTTCCTTTGATGATCGCGTCGGTACATTCCTTTGATCTTGCTTACCTGCATCGGCTGCATCGCGCAGTTGGTTTCCTGCGACGTCAACATTTTCAGCGGTGTCTGAGATCTGCAGTTCAATCCCGCCCGCGCTCTATTTTGCCCCGCCCGGTTGCGCCTTCCGTCGCTCCCTTGTTTCGATCCAAAATTTGGACCAAGATTTGTCAGCATGACTCGGCATCGTTACACAATGCAAATCGTAGACGCGATGCCATTTCGCCAGGCGGCCATGTGGATGAACCGGATCCGATCCATCAGATGCACAAAACACTTGCGACGAGCTGGAGTACATGTACGACTCGCCAGACCGAGTCTCCGACAAACCTGCACGATTCTGGTGCCCATCCTGAGTCTGGATTCTTAATGCGGAATATTCCGACCGTGCCTTGCTGATGTGGAGTTGCGATGATGTCAGCACAAACAGACTTCAACTCAACCACCATGGTCACAACCCGCAAACAAGAGGCCTTGCAGGCCGAGAGGGCAGAAGTCGCGCAGGCCCCCGACAATCTGTCCAAACGCCCCGCTCCAAGACACTCCAACATGAAACCAACCCCAGACGATTCCGAGGAGGCAGAAGTTGAAGACGACGCCGAGGACTCCGACGAACCGCCAACCAAAAAGGTGAAAATCGAGACACCTGCAGAGGAGGTTATGCGTAGAGATGGAGAAAATGGGCGTGTAGCCGGTACGAATCAACGCTAGCAACGATTGGCCTCCAACTTAAATTGGTTGATGTACTATCTGCAGGAACGACCGAGCGGGGGCACATCTACTTTTTCTTCCGCCCCCGAGTCGAGACGGACGAGCCGTCATCTATTGACGATGTGAAGAACCTGCACATGCTCCTTGTTCCGACCCCACCAAAGTTCGGTGCTGCTGGGGACACGCCAGCATCAAACGACAACGATGATTCCAAAGACATGCGGGTGCTGGAAGCGGGGGCCGATGCGGTACCTGCCTCAGCGGAGCTGGATACTCTGGGGAAACACTACCGGCTCATTACGCTCGGAAAGAAAAAACTCCCAGATCCCGATGCGCATCATGGTGGCCGCAAAGAGAGTTTCTGGGCGACGGTCACCGCCGTGGGCGACGATCTCGAAGTATTAGAGAAAGGGATGGGCGAGAAGACGTACGAGACCAAGACGCGCGGTAAGTTCCTTCATCAAGGCATCCTAAGTTAGGTGAATTGAACATGTATCTAACTTTGAACTTTGTCCTCAGGCACACGCCACGACCCTCCTGCACGCCTAGCCGCGCGCGGCTGCTACACCATCGTGAACAACGAAGCTCCTACACGCTCAAAAGAAACCACATATCTCGGGTACCACCTTTCGCACCCCGCGCCGTCCGACTTCGGGCCCGTTCAAGAGGCCCTCGGCATCCAACAGGCCGAAGCCTTCGTCCTACAGGTGAAGAATCCGCAGGCGTCCGGCTCGTTGACCACGAAGCACATCATGTATCCACCTGCTATCATGGATGGCGTCTTTGGGAAGGGAACACACGGTCAGGATCCAACGGGGCTTCGTTTTGCGCCGTGTTCGCAACCCCAGATGCTCGATTACACTGGTGTCGAGCTGCTTCTCATCGCTGTTCGAGGAGGCGAATCGGGGCTGGAGGAAAGTTTGGGCGAGGGGCGGGGCGATGGTGAGTATTCCATTCGGTGCTTGATGTTGTCCACTGACCGGGTGTTCTGGACACAGCGCTGGCGGAGGCGGGCGAAAAGGACGAGGATCTAAGCGCTGACGAAATATTCAGAGAATTGTGGGGTGGCGAGGAGATTCCTGAGGCGTTGAATGGAGAATGGATTTAACTTTTTCCACAGACACAATTGTTTGAATACTGTTTGAATACTGACTATTCTTGAATGTGTACTAATACATTCCCTGGTTGGCCGCGCACAGATATGCATCATTTGTCTACTTGCTACTACTGAAGTTCTATCGAACTAATGCTTAGAGGAGAGAAGCTGACCAGCTTGACTTCAGCTCGACGCATCATTTAGTTTGGAAAGCCCTGTAGACTAGCACAACCCGGAGTAATCTCAATGCTGCACCTATAGTGCGTTTGACCGGTATGTCGTACTACATATGGCCGTCAACAGAACTCGAGGGGATAATGGGACATGGCATCTGTCAGTCGGATTCAGTACTGGATGTATATCTGCATCCCATTCGCTTCCAGCTCTGTGAATGCCTCGAGGATATCCGCTGGAGGCTTCGGGGACCCCGACAAATGGACGTGGAAGGTTCGGAGGCTCATGCGACGAGTCGAGAGCATGCGGAGGAGTCCCGCCCAAGAAGAATACGGAATTGGGGGCAAATGGAACGAGTAGTTGAGGTGGAGGACGAGAGTGTGTAGGTTTGGGAGCAACAACAGGGGATTGGTCAACACAATGGATAATTCCAGGATAACACGGGAGGTTGTCCCCCACATTTCGAGGCGTGCGAGGGTAGGTATAAGACGGAGAGTTTCTGGCAAACAAATGAACTTGAGGGGATCTCCCAGGATAATCTCTTGGAGAGGGGGCGAGGAACACCTCAAGAAGGCCAAGAAATCGTTGCTTAATACAGAAGTGAAGGGAAGGACCATGGCTTCGAGCGCGGGAAGGGAAAGATGTTTTAGAATCCCGTCGAGGTTGACAGGACATTGCGTGCTGCTTCCGAACATGAACCGACGCAAACTCGGAAGAACCACCACCTCCTCGGCAGACAGGGGAATGCCGTCGAGGACATGAATTGTTTCAAAGACGAATTCGACAAGATTTGGTGCAAGACATAGCAGCTGTAAGATTTCGTGATCGGAGCAACACACCACTTCAAAGCCCACATTAGTTATCGAGAGCGTTGTAAGGAGCGCTAGCTGGCCTGGAGTTTGGCCTCCGAAGAAGTCAATTATCTCGTCGTCGTCGCTGTTAGTGTCTTCTCCATCCTCATCCTCGCAGCAGCATATTTCCAGATGCTTCAGCTGCTGGCTGTGTCCCCAAATAATGGCGGCGACGTCGGGGTCGATCTCGGCTCGATGAAGGCGAAGAAATATGGACAGAGGGCGAGTACGCGCGCGACGAAACCAGATGGGTAAGACTGCGGTGAAGCCTACTGTACAGGGAGAAGGGATATGAATGTCCGCCCAAATGGCAGGCGTGAATAGCGCGATGTCGGTCCATGCATGGCAGATATTCAGAAGTAACAGGGGCTGGGGTGCGCCCGGCTCTGGAAGGGAAGGGAGAGATTGAAGAAAGATCTCGGACGATAGTTCGACGGGCAGGCGTGCCATCGGATCGAGGACCGCGTTGAGCTGATGCTGAACCTGGCTTTTGTCGTGTTCCAACTGGTTCAACAGCTTTTTCTGCAGATCAATCTCCGCCGCAATCTGGGCAATGCGTGCGCGAAGGCTTTTCGCCGACATCCTGAGTCTTTGTTGTCACAGAAAGTGCTATGAGGACCAACACAGACTTTGAAGAAGTTCGGAAACCATTCCCGCTCACCTAGTTGAATCGAGTCTGCGAGGAGGTGGTGGTTTGAGGAGGGACTGTTTGCTCGTGCTTGATGGCACGTGTCACTGGCCTTCTCCTTCCCACTTCCATGCAATCGAACTCTGGCCCAAATGCGTGCGACGCTTGCGGCAAACCTCCCTTCAAAGCCTCGCCCCTACTTCCCAATGCATCGCAAATCAGCGACCTCCGCGATATCTTGCGCTCAAACACTTTGCCGCTCGAGAAATCCGGTCTCTTGAATGTCGTTGACCGGGCGTTGCCTGAGCTCAAACGATTCAACGCCGAGATTGCGAGGCTGCAGCAACGCCTGGCGATACTGATCTCGGATCGGAACGAGCTCGAATCGTACAGCGATGGATGCCGCAGCGCCTTTTCACCCATCCGCCGCCTCCCTACCGAAGTATTAGCAGAAATTTTTGGGATGTGCTATCCTCCTGGAGAGGGCGTAATTGCGGAAACGGTCACGCCGGTCGAAGAGGTCGACAGAGTAGCGAAGAAATACTTGCTTCAGATTTCTCAGGTACTGTCTTCCTGCGGTTCCTGGTCCTTCTGACTTCCGTTATGAAAAGGTGTGTTCTCACTGGCACAGCGTTGTAATGGAAACTCCGATGCTATGGTCAACCATCATTCTCGATACCGATGTGTGGAGCTCATGCACATTATCCTCAAAGACGCTGCTCGACCTTATTGCGATTTCCCTCAACCGCGGGGTTGACTATCCTCTCACCCTATACGGCACCGTTGATCACGGCGATCCAAATGAGCATCTCATCCTGGATCTGCTCAGTCAACACTCACACCGGTGGAAATGTGTTTCCCTGTGGATCGACGTTGCGTCCCTTCCTTTTCTCATCAATGCCAGAGGCCACCTGCCCCTCCTCAAAACCCTTGAGCTCGTCAATTTTGGCTCTTGGAGCGATGTTTCATACACCGATGACATCTTCGAGACCGCTCCCAAATTGACAGACGTCTCACTTACAAACTGGCATTCGCTCCCCCCGATGCTTCCTTGGAAGCAAGTTTGTAATTTCACGTTTTGTAGCGGGTATCCCCCGGACCCTACTCGCGCGCAAACCCTTCTCGGCACAGTCCTAGAATGCATGACTTGTCCTCGTTTAGAAACTCTCAGGTTTCTCCACTCACAGTCAGGTCTGCCCTGCCCATGGAACCAACCATCGACTTTGCCTGCCGCTCATCTCTCCATGCCACCCTCCGAGTACTCCGTATTGACACTTTCATCGAGGAACACGAGCTTACGATATGTCTGGGTGCGGTGCCGTTGTTGCAGGAGTTGTACATCTCAGATTCTGCGCACCACCTTCTGACGATCACAGACAACCTTCTCCAACAGCTTGAAGGGCAATGAACTCGAGCCTGAGCTCACCCCCTGAGCTACGGAAGCGGTCCGTGGCTCCAAAAATGACCTGAAAAAGATCACCTCATTGCAATGTACATGCTTCCGGTGGGATTCGAACCCACGCCGTCTCTATAAATCTGTGCACTACCTTGTAGATCGTCGAGGTGCTCAACCACAGACCCACGGAAGTATCTCCGCTTGTACAAGCTATACAAAGACTCCAAAACCAGGTTAAGATTCAAAATTACGCAACACAACAACAAAAAGCCTGCATTAGCTATTCACGTTCCCGGTGGGATTCAAACCCACGCCGCCTCGATAATTCCTCGATGAAGATTTACAATATCGAGGAGCTAGACCACTTAGCCACGGGAACGTATATGATGATTGTTTGTGAAGCACACAGCTGATACATAGTATATGTTCAACTGTCCAAGCATTGGCAAAAGAACAAGAAAACTAACATGCCTCCGATGGGAGTCGGACCCACGCCGCCTCAAGACAAATGCAAGGATGAACCAGGCTGATAAGGAGGTCTGAGCCACGGAAGCGACATGGTGATTCTGAATACTTGTACCCCACAAAGCAAACCAGATGAATGGAAAGGAAAACAAAACGAAGCCAAAAACACAGTTGTGTGAGGGAATGCCTCCGGTGGGAGTCGAACCCACGCCGCCTCGAGAAGGATGTTCACCATGATGAATTACCTCGAGGCGCTCAACCGCTGAGCCACGGAAGCGATCGACAGATGAGACCGGGAAAGAGGAGGGACAAAGTGAATTCAGTATGCATCCGTGGACCTGAACCTACACACCAATATCTGTATCAACGACGGTTGAAGTAGCTACACAAGAGCGCGCCGGGGTGCTCTCGCTTGAGTCATTGCCCGCAGAGTCAAGTTGGAGTCGGTCCCTCAGCCCACGGAGATGTCCGAGTGGAGTTTAAAGGCTTCGGACAGTTGTAATTTTATAAAGAGTAGAATAGAGCTTATTAGGTGTCCCCCGAAAATTCACTTTCAAGTCAAAGAAAATAATTCCTTGAGTCGAAGATCTTTTGATTAATCAGAGTGGCCGAGCTTGCCGACTGGAATCAGTGAGTGGAGCGAGACCACAACGACCCTTTCAGCGCTGACGTGAGCTATACAGGTGGCTAGAGGGTCGAGTTCCAGTCCATCGCAAGCTGCCAGCACTTCGTGGTGTTGAGGTGGTTGAAGTTGGGTAGCCGAGACAAGCTACATAATTCAAGTTTGCGCAGGAGCTCCACAAAACTAATTTTCAGTTCGAAATCAAACTAAGGCCCCACGAAATCGATTAGCAGGGGGCAGTGCACCTAATAAGCTCTAGTGTATGTATTTGTGTTCCCAGCGCCATAGACGCCGGACTGATATGTACCTGTGTGAACCGGGTCGTGCTTGCAGTGCAGCTACGACACATTTCATTAGCATTAATTCACAAACATAGAGTGCGAAAATGTCCGGCAAGATCAGATGCACAGCCACATCAATCTGATAATCAAGCAATCCAATCATTTCCCGCGGTTTCATTGCAAGTTCAAGTTCAAGTTGCGATGTTTGCGTGCACATTCGTTTACTGGCACACTCGGGCACGGGAACACGAAAATCTCTGCAGAGGAGGCTATTGAGATGAATGGCTTTTGTGCCCAATCAAACCAACAGACAGTACCTTAGTCTGCGAGATCATTGGCAATGAAACTGTTCAGAATCAACTACATACATACGCAGTCTACGAGCCTTTGTGCAATCTGAGGTTAAATATTTATCAATACCAAGGTGGCAGGATTCGGTCATTTGTCCACCATTGTCTCTGCCACACGGTCACAGCTTCAAGTTCCTAATACCGACTTGAGAAAGCATCTCGAAAGACACCCCAAATTTCAGATGTCAACCAATAAGCATGCAACGGAATCAGCTACTTCATTACTTACTTGAAGGGTAACAAACCCCTGCCTTTCCACCGCTGTTTGTGACCCGCCGCTTGCCGGCCTCCCCCAATCATGTTGAGCATGTTGTTTTCGCTTTTCAGACAATCGGTTACCGATCAGGAAGGCACAGCTTTGGGAGTCCATGAAGCAAGCCACCAAGCAAACGTGCAATGAAAGAAGGCTACACATTGATGCTAGATGAAATCGAGTTCGAGGGTCGATGATTTTTTTTCGGTTCTCTTGCTGGTTCACAATCTACCTCGCTGCCACAGTAACTCAGACCTTTGGCGGCAGTCGTACCTACGCTGCTTCAGAAATTACCTACAGAATTTCGACGGACTCAACCACTGAGGCACGGAAGCGATAGTTCATTTTACCTCCAGCACAAAACAGACTGCATGAATGTGTTGTTTCTTTCATTTCAAAATGACTCTGTACTATAGGCCGAGCTCTCATCGCCCTCAAAATGAACTTGAATCCGCCCTTGAATTCAACTCGGGTTTAGATTGAACTCGGCTTTGGTGGGATCAGCAAATGTGATCCGAGACATTCCATCCAGAACCTTGGAAAGAGCTGACCGGTAACACGATTCTGGAATTGCTTCCAGCTGTGTCCGACAATTGTGGCACGGGTTGACATTTCCAACGCACGTTGCGACGGCGCTGTAGCTGGTATTTAGTTGCTTGAGTTGAAGACCATAATAAGCAATTATGGCCCGCGATCTTGCATGCCAATGGTCGTAAAACGCTGCCTGTGATACAAACACGTCACGTCAAAGCAGAACTTGAGCGAAGAGTCTTTGACTGACCCATTTTGCCAGGGTGTCTGGGGCGAGCGCCTTCACAGCTTGCGCAACTGATAGCCCCATGCTAAGCCGCGCCGCCTCGTCCGACAGCTCCGTGTAGTTGTGTCGCGCCGCATAATCCAACACCTCGAGTGGATGCTTGACAACCGACTCTCTGAACGTGTCCAAGTCAGGTATGATTAAACCAGATATCTGTGTCCTACGTACCTCATCCTCAAATTTGCCGCCGGCATAGCAGAGTAAACCAGGTACTTTTCCGCCGCCTCCGCCAGCCGCGCGCACACCCCGAACTCCATTTTCTGCAGTACCGGCTGTGGCTGGCGGTACATGTACTGGAACAAGAGATCGAGCACATCGGCACCTTCGCTCAGATATACGATGTCCTCGTTGTCACGATGCTCGCGCTGAGTCGTATCGGCCGCGGCAGCGAATATATCGGAGTGGAGCTCGAGGTTTTTGCGATGAACTTTGAAGAGCACGCTGTCTGACGACGAGATTGTGATGTCGGAATCGGGGGCACAAACTATAGAGGATCAGTGTCGAACGAACTTGGGGTATTTGAACGAGCCCGTACATCGCTCCGATATGCCTGATGTGGCCATGGGTTGTCGCAATAAAATGAGCAAGCCCGGGGGTCGAGGAACCGGTGAGAGGCACGTTGCAAGGAAGCGCTCGAAGTCAGGTGAAGTGTGGTTCAAAAATAAATTAGTTACCCATCCTTGGTCGAAAAATGGACAACATCTTTAGTCCCCGCGTTCACGCTTCCAGGCCATCCGCTACCTCGCTGGTGCCAGTATTCTTTGCGTTTCTCAAACAGAACACAACATGTCGCAGCCGGGGCAAAAAAAAAATCCGGCTCGCTCAGTCACGGTCCAAGTGGCAGTTGTTCCGTTCGTTTCTGAACCATTGAACTAGCTATTTGGCATGCATTGAGGGAAGCGAGGTTCCTTTGGGCGGCAGAGCTTCAGAGGCGACTGCGGTAACTTGAAAGCGGTCATGATGGTACGATGAGAAAGGCATCGGAACGTTCATTCCGGACCGACTGTCCGATCAGTGATGTGGCTTTCAACCTTGCATCTTCCTTTGAATTTCAACCTCAATAATCATCGATGTCGTCCGGCGCCTTCCCAACATCGTATCTGTTGCTCAGCTCCTCACACAGCTTCGTGAAATCCTGAGCTTCGATACTTGGCTTTTGTTTCTTGATCGGAACTCAACACTCATGGCGAGTTGGCGACTCGAATGAAGCAAGAATGAAGTGTCGATGAGCCTTCCAGATTCGTAGTCTCTGCAGGAAAGATGCCACAACATTTGCAGGGCGTTCCTTGCTCATTATACCAAATTCTCGCGGCGAGACACCTCCTGCGACAGCTTATCTGGAGGCTCGACGAGAGGTAACCGTGCTCCTAATCTCGACGCCGCCGGTAACTCACCTCATGGTGAATTACTTTGTGGCAAACCGAGAGTTTATGCATCGTTCGTAATAACCCTTCCTGAATCCTGTCAGTTGGTTATTACTTCCTGATTCCCAGTGAAAAACCCGTCTTGGGAGATCCTGGGATACCTTGGCTGATCCGGGGATATCCTAGTTTTTCAAAACTGCCATCTTGCCTCATGTTGACCGTTCAAAAAATTTAGTAGATTTCAATTGAATTTTAGACAGCTCGGGCGCGCAACTTCAAAATACTGCCAAAATCCTGATGGCTGGTGTGGGTTGGTGTTGGCATATCTTGGCTCTTGATACTTTTCCCCGGTCAAAATTTCCCAGGATATCGCAAGATATCCCAAGACGGGTTTTCCACTGGGCCTGAAGCTTCGATGATTCGAAACAAATTCGAGCAGCAATTTCCAGAGTTGAACTTATGGAATAAATTGAATGAAGTGTACAAGAGACACAACCGTTTTAACATGCCAGAACAATTACGGAATAAGTACATACAAGTATACGAACAGCCGGATTGCCGGACCGGTGGACGGCATCTTTTCTCACTCGCTTCTTCCACCCACACTCATCGGTTGCTCACCGACCACCATTTAAAGATTGCTCCCTGCTCTTCTGAGTCTTCACTGCTTCGCAAAGCCCTGCAACCGGTAGCAGTCTTTGTGGGGCAAATTGTTTCCGCACCTCTGGGCCCGCGAATCGAATGGATGCAAATGTGTTCTTGCGGTGATCAGGCGACACTCACAGTGGCCGCTCGATACCGTAACCTATATGTTGGACTAGGGGGAGCCCTGAACGTAAATGGCACGTCAAATATCTGTTGCCAACTCAGGTGTCGTGTCAAGATTCTTTGCACCTCAGCTCAAGCTCATAGTCGATTCCAATCACCAGAAAACCGCAATTTACCAGGCGCATTCCCCACCATCCCCAGCGCACCCACGGCCTTTTCGTCCAGATCAGATCAGATGACCGCCCCCTATTGGAAACCTCTCGCTAATTGGCTGCCAGTGCTACTAAATTCAGCGAGGTAACGATCGGATGACATCTGCGCAACGGGACTAGTTCCGTCATTATGTCCCTGGACGCGCCAAAAGCCGTCTAATTATTTCCTCTCGTTCCCCTCATTCTCCCCACCACTCTCATGGCGACTCCCTCAACCTCTCAGCGATGTACGCGGTTTTGCCTAACCTTACTCTGCAAAAGACTGCTAACATTGTTCGGCTTTCTTCCCAGTTTGCGCCGCTGACGCGGATCTCACCGTCTCCTCCTCGGACGGCGTCTTGTTCAAGGTCCATCGGCGCAATCTCGAAGCGCACTCGGGCGTATTCGCGAGCGCAGCGGACGCGACGCAACCAGAAAACGGCCACGAAACCGTTGACCTTTCCGAGCCCGCCAACATCCTCGAAATCCTGTTCCAGCTCATGTACCCGCTACCGCAGCCGGATCTTCGCGCGATGGAATTCACGACGGTTGCGGCTGTTGCAGAAGCCGCTGAGAAGTACATGATTTACGCAGCAATAAGCGTGTGTCGCGCGAGGATGGAGTGCGTTGT